CTGCATTGAAAATGCACTTTAAAAAAATAAATAAAAGCTCCAGACTGTTTAAAATGTACAGGGGGAGCAGGGGAAAGAAAACATGTGCTAGTGTCTGAACCCAGTTCAGTTTATCTCCAGTTGAAACAATATACACTATATTATGTATAAATGTATACACACTTCCCATATATATGCATATATAGTGTATATATTATACATGTATAGGTGTGTATATGTGCATATATACACACATGCACATAACAAAATCAGAATCTCATTACAAATCCAGATGCTCATTACAAATCCAGATGCTCATTACAAATCCAGATGCTACACAAACAGCAGCAGAGGAAACAAGGTTGGACTCTTGCAACAGATCACAAAAAATAAAAACAGCCGCTCGCAGTGACTTTGGTCATTTCTGTATGTTCACAAGGAATGGATTGTAACAAAGAAAAAAAGGAACAGTGTTAGTGAAAGAGGAAAAATGGGCGAAACCATCTTGATCCAATGGGAATGCAGTAATGTTCTATATACCATTTCATCTGTTATTTCTTTTAGTCATGTTGATTTGATTTCCGTTTTGGCTATTAAACACAAATTCTTAAACTCAAGTGACCCACAACAAAATGAACACAACTACAGTGAAAGCCCTTTTCAATGGAAGATGTCAGAGATCTCAAAACCCTTGGCCTGGCTCAGAACTACCATGTGCAAATCAGTACTCTCTTAACGTTCGAAATAAAAACTGAAAAAAAAAAAAAAAAACACTTTTTTGAAGCACCTTAATGTGGCAATCCACTCGAGGAGTGGGCGCCACTTTTTCTTTGAGCACCTTATTGACGTATTTTGCTATCTGCTGTCTTTCTGTTACCTGTTGGCTGAATGGCTAGCTGTTAACACACACATGTGCACAGACCAGATGTCTGGACGTGTGTTTACTCAATGAAGTTTACTGTGGTGACTGCTGAAAGGTGAACCCATTTCCTGATTTTCCCGCCACAGTGTTGTGATAAGATTCGAAGAAACCCTATCCCCTGCACAGAAATGTTTCTTATCACATTGTATCTTAGTATGGAAAGGAATATGGACCCTTTTTTGCAATTGCTACTGTACACACACACACACACACACACACACACACATTCATTCATCCAAGTGGTATTTTCAATGTCTGTGTGGGTGTCACTGTTGATGCAGTTTCTATCTCCCAGTGAATTCTGAACGGAGGGCAACTTTTCTAACCAGATTGTCTTTTCAGACCGAAGACCTGGGAATTGGGGACGAGTTTGCAAAAAGGGAGAGCAAAGAAAGAGAGAGCTTTAAATTGAAAGAATAATGTCCCAAGAGGAACCTGGGCTCAGTGATTGCAGAGACTGTACCCTCCAACCTTTGCAGGTGGGCATGGAACACTGCTTGTATCGATCCGTGTACCATAGAAACCCTGTCTACACAAACACACACATCCAGCCATCCATCAATAGAGACGTGGTTCGGGATGAGCAGGTCAATAGTTTTGAGAGGGAGTTTGTTCCTTTTTTTTTTCTCATTATACTTTTAAATTGTTGTCAGTTATCAAACAAACAAACAAAAATTGTTTTGAAAAACCTTGCATACGCCTTTTCTATCAAGTGCTTTAAAATATAGACTAAATACACACATCCTGCCAGTTTTTTCTTACAGTGACAGTATCCTTACCTGCCATTTAATATTAGCCTCGTATTTTTCTCACGTATATTTACCTGTGACTTGTATTTGTTATTTAAACAGGAAAAAAAACATTCAAAAAAAGAAAAATTAACTGTAGCGCTTCATTATACTATTATATTATTATTATTATTGTGACATTTTGGAATACTGTGAAGTTTTATCTCTTGCATATACTTTATACGGAAGTATTACGCCTTAAAATACGAAAATAAATTTTACAAGGTTTCTGTTTTGTGTGGAAGAGTAATTGATGTTGCTAAGAATGATGTTTGTTTTTTGGGGTTTTTGTTGTTTTTTTTTAAATGTTACCAGCACTTTTTTTGTAAGTTTCACTTTCCGAGGTATTGTACAAGTTCACACTGTTTGTGAAGTTTGAATATGAAGGAATAATTAAAAAAAAAACTCTTCTCTTGGTTTCCTATTGTGTCTTCTTTATATTTGTTAGTATTTCTGTTTTAGGAAGTTCTTCGCATTCTTTCAGACACGTTCAATATAATCTTTGGATTATAGATCGGAATGTTTATGCCAAGGTTGAGAATGTGCTCTTGATAAGACACAGAATCATTAAATGTATTTCTCCCTGAACTACCATTCATCCATTCATTTACTTTCCTCTTCTGTTAGGGAACCCAAGAGGGGATTCTAGGGAGCTTCAGGTCACTTCCTGTCTGTACTTGGTAGTCCCCTACCTCAGTCTCCCCTGTGATCCTACCCTGTGTATTTCTCAAAAGAGATGAAGGAAAAGCTTCCTCAAACCCTATTTTGAATGACAGAGAAAAATGCAGAGACCACCAGTCAAAAATAGACACCTTCCCCGGGTAACAGTTTGGTTTAGGTGTAGAGTTTAATTTCGCACAGTTCAATAAAAATATAATGGGAGACACATGCAATTCTAGACTTTCTAGTAGCCACAATAAAAATGTAAAAATCAACAAGTTAAAGTGATTTTAATAGTATATTTTATTTAATCCAAAATATCACTTTGACATGGAATCAGTATTTTTCAATTATTAATGAGATAGTTTATATTTTAAGTATGAGGAATGTCGAGTCTGCTGAATCTGATGAGTATTTTATACCTTATTTTATGGCACGGCACATCTCAGGGTGGACTGCCCCCTTCACATGCTTGATTGTTGCCCAAGGACAGTAGCTCGCTTCCAGGACAGCTCATGATTCCAGGAATCTGACTTTTAGTAGATTGTCTTCTCTGGTTCTGCAAGGAACATCTAGTTCCATAAATCCCACTTTAAAATTTATTTGCTGTCAAATACAATCTCCTTTTAATTACTTCGCCCCTTTATAACATCCCTGGGTCCCTCCAAATGGTATTTGTGAATGTTTCCCAACTAGCACAACCATGCTAGTAACACCCAACCCTCAGTCTAACCCCAGCCTAATGTACTCTCCTCCAAATCAAAATACCTTTTCTTCATGTCATCACATTTTCATTCATTTCTGATCTGTCAACTATGTTTTAGTCCCAACAAATTTGCACTCATTTTGCAAGAACAATGCTGTGAACTGCTGTGGCAAATAACAGCATTTTACTATATCTATATTCCTTCCAGAGCACTTGGCACTCTGGACAACTTACAGCTCATTATCCCTAACTACATATCTGTTTAGTAGAAAAATGAGGAAAATTAAAATAAAAATCCAAGGTGGAGTCAGCATTGAATTGTCTTCTTGCTCAACCAGCCTAATTCGTAAAGAGCAGGCAATACTTTATTTGAACCATTAGCAGAGGACACCTTGGCTTCACATTCTTCGGTTCCAGTGCCCATGAAAGAAAATCAGTCACCTATAAATCCATCCTCCCTCCTCATTCCTCTAAGGCAGACGGAGGGAATGCCAGGTAAATGCAAATAAGCAGCTCAAATACCGCTCTAACCCCAACACAAATAGGCCAGGGTGAATTTATGAGTACAGAGCAATTAGCTTAAGGGTGTTTATTTTTTTACACCTTTTAATTTCCCCCATCATCGAACAATCTCTCCCCCACCATTCCTCCCCGTTCCCCTCCCCCTCCCCTTAACCCCAGAGACCTCAGGATGCTTAGATGTCCACTGGTTCATTTTTCAAAGCCTCTATCTCCTTCCCTTTTTTCCTAAAAAGCATCCCTATTTTTAAAATGCAAATTTTCCTTTTGGTGGTGAACAGATTCTTTCCTCAAATCTCCATGGTGGATTGATAGAAAAAAAGGTAGATTATGGCCCAGCGTTTATATGGAGCTCCCTCACCAGAAATGCACCAGTTCCCCAGCACATCTAACTACATAGACCCGAGATTTCTGTAGTGATCACCACTGGACTTGGGCTACATCCAAGAAAAGGACACTTGAATTGCCTGTCCAGAGAATCAAATCTGAGGTCCTGTTGGCTCCTTTGGGGACAAGGTCTTCAGCTGGGCCTTTCGCTCCCAATCTTACTTTCCATAATCCCGAGACAGGGCCTCCCCTGGTGGTGCAGGCGGTTGAACACAGCGCTGTGAAGCTGTCCGCAGCCTCTGCAGCGCGGATTCGACCCTGGCCGGCTAGTGAGAATCCCACATGGTGCGGCAGACCTCTCCTGTCTTGCCCGCTGCTCCCCCCAGCAGTGTATTTTGGTTCGTCTGCCTGTTCTGTTCCCCGCTGTTTCTGGTGACTCCTCTCACCCTCCCACGCTTCTGGCCTGTACCCCGGTTCTTGTATACATGAATAAATAAATCTGAAAAAAAAAGTTCCCGAGACAAATCTGCTCACCAGACCAGCCTCATAGTTTCCTTCATCCTCCTCTTACCTAAGTCCCACCTCTTCCCAGATCACTCGCCACAGATAAGCTTTGCCTACCCCAACCAGCTCAGCACAACCGTCATCTTGTCCTAAAGGGCTGTGGCTTGAATCTCTTACTACCTTTTTATAAATGTTATCTCCCCACCCAACTGCACGTTTTAAAGTATCAGAACTATGGTTTAGTCATCCTCAAATCTCCCCACAGAAGCTGACACCATGCCTTATTCATGAACTGCCCTGAACACATGAATGTTGGTGACAATGACAGTGGAAAGATGAGCTGGGCTCTGCAATCTTATCATCATCATCACCCACCACAAAACCCTGGTGCCCAAAACCCTGCCCAGTGTTGTTCAGAGGACTGCATGTCTCAGAACGTTCTTTTTCAGCTTTGCATTCATAACCAGATACAAGTTGCTCAGTTCAGTCTGCCACAATGGGAGGGAAAGGAAGAGGAAGTGAGAAAAGATTATGACATTCACACACACACACCCCACACACACAGAGCAATGACGGAGGGCATAGACATTTATACCCTCATGTGTAATAACAACCAGATATGTGTCTCCTGGAGTTGCCTCCAGGAGCTAACCAGTCTCTGGCAGGAAGCTGAATCTCCCGAGGCTCCTGTAACTGAGGACATTGAAGTAGTCGTGAGGCTCAGCATAATCATCCTCACTCTGCTCTCTGCACAGGTTGACAGGGGCAGCTGCTGCCTGGATACAACTTCCAGGGAAGGACAAACTGGGGGAACTTCTGTTCTCATGCTCAGACGCCATTCTTCCGAGGTCTCTTTCCACAGCACGGGTTCTGAGAGATTTGTTCTAAAAATAAATGTTATTTGAAAAACAAGTATTATTCAAAAGTTACTCCCCAACATGATGTCTAGTCATCATGACCACTCTCTTCCATTCACTCACACAGACACATACACACACAGAGGCAAAGCTGTGCTCTAACCAACACCAATGTTTCTTTTTTTTTTAAAGATTTATTTATGCATACAAGAACTGGGGTACAGGCCAGAAATGTGGAGGATGAGAGGATTCACCAGAGACAGAGTGGGTTGCAGAACAGGCAGACTGACTGAAATACACTGCTGAGAGGAGCAGCAGGCGAGACAGGAGAGGTCTGCTGCACCATGTGGGTGGCTCCCTGGCTGGCCGGGGGATCGAACTCGTGCTGCAGAGGCTGCAGATAGTTTTGCAGCGCTGTGCATAACCCCTTGCGCCACCAGGGAGGCCCCACAAACAACAATTTCTTAACCCTTCAGTTCTCCACCTTGTCACAGCCAGATTTCAATACTGACCACACCACTGAAATGACACTACACGCACCACTGTGCCGGCTGCTTCTCCAGCCCTCATCTTCTCACTCAGCTCCAGTGCTCTCACTTGTCATTGCCTTGGACACTGTTGATCTGCTCCTTTTTGAAACATCCCCATTTCCTGGCTTCTATGACATGACCATCGTGTGGCTCACTTCCTCCTTTAAACCCCCACCTTCATCTTCTGCCAGGCTTGCTCTTTATCACCTTACATACCAGCTCCCCAAAAATAGGGGTCCTGCAATTTCTTCATATGCTCCATACTCTCTCCAAGTCACTTCATTCATAGGTATCTACAACCACCATCTGTCCCCTAAAGTTTCCCAAATGTCTGTCCAGACAAGCAGAGGCTCCTGCCCTGAGCTCCAGACCCAATCTGTCACCTGTTTAAATAGAACTCACCCCCTGGTGCCCACAGCAAGCTCAGGCAGGACCTGTGTCAGATGGAACCATCGTACTCCCTACTCCACAAACTGCTCCTGTCCCTGCATTGTTATTCTGGATTGTGGCACCGGCTGACCAGAAACCTGGAGCCTAATGTTAAACTGCAGTTGATCATAAAATTCCATCTAATTTTTCTCTTCAGTAGCTCTAAAACTGATCACCTCTTTTCCCTGCCCACGTCCATGTCTTTTCTCTCACCTACACTTCCATACTCATCTGTCTCTAAATACCCTAACTCAAGGACAGCCTTTTCATGGCTACCAGCAAAGCAATCTTGAAAAACTGGAAATTGGTCACACCTGCTTCTGCCTAACCCCTTAGATGGTGCCCATTGTCTGTAGGATGTTGAACCTCCTCTATGAGTCAGGGTAGATGTCGGAATTGCATGAAAAATATTGTATAAGGATGCATTCTTCTGGCAAGAAAGTCCTCAATTTCACTACCTTTTCCACAGGACATTATGTGTGATGCTCCCAAAATGCCCATCCCAGACCTGCCTTCACTTCCCCTACTGACCATCAACCCCATAAATGGTGTCAAATATCAGCTCTACTAATCTAAGGAATTGTAGGCATGCCAAGGACAGAGAGAGATTATAACTAAAGGACCTGGTTAGCATCTCCCTGCAGAAACTGGGAATGTATGTCTGAGAGTGAATCCTGAGAGGAATGGACCAGAAGTGGGCAAACTGAATATCAGATTAGGTGAAGAATCATTTGTCAATATTGGGACAGGCTTCATGACTCCAGTTAACGCCCTCACAAAGTCCTCAAGAGAAATATCCAATACACTGCTGTCAACAGAAATGCCACCACTGATTTGGCAGACTATGGAAGAAAGCAAAAAAAATCCTCAGAGACGGGGGAATTCCATAATGGATCTGTGCATAGTAAGAAACACATATGTTGATCTCTACACCTGGGTACTGATATGTGGTTTTTGACCACAGTTGCTGATAGTTTCTTCAACCCTTGTGATTTCCTGAATTTCCCACCTCCCTTTTTAATTTCCTATGTGATAGGCAGATCTTTTGTTTGAACAAGGCTACTTTTTGTGGCTGGTTCTTTTGTGGGCTAGTCACCATATAAACCAAATCATGATGAGACACTTGGAACTTTCAGTCTCACCCCTGATTCTCTGGAGAGAGGAGGGAACTGGGAAATGAGTTAATAATTACTCATGCCTGCATGAGGAGTGTCCATAAAACCCCCAAAGTACAGGCCTCAGAGCGTTTCTAGGTTGCTGAGTACATCTGTATCCTATATTATAACCTTTATTATACAATAAACCAGCAAATGTAAGCAAGTATCCCCCTGAGTTTAGTGAAACATCTTAACATAGTACCTAGGGAGGGGGTGTTGAAAACCCAATTCATAGCAAGTTGTGACAAACTGGGACTTGAAACTGTCATCTGAAGTGAGGGCAGTTTTGTAGGACTGAGACTTTAACTTATGGAATCTAACACTAACTCTGGGCAGATAGTTTCAGAACTGAATTGAATCGTTCAGACTCCTACATGGTATAGGAAAATTGGTCAGCACAAGAAAACGCACATACACACAAACCCACACACACATACGTAGTGTCAAACATGCTCTGCCGATTGCTAAGAGTAGAAATGAAGGGGGAAAAAAACAGTTTTTCCCAATATAATCGACTAAATGAGGTATTGGTAAACTAAGACCCCTGGATCAAATCTGACCCATTTTGTTGGCTTTTTGCACTGCTCCCAAGCTAAGATGGAGTTTACATTTTTAAGTGGTTGGGGAAAAGCAAAAGAAGAATAATATTTCATAACACCTGAAAATTACATAAAAAATTCAAATTTCAGAGTTGATCAATAAAGGTTTCTTGGAACAAGGCCTACTCATGCCCTTACATATGTCTGTGGTGCTTTCACACCACAATGGCAGACAATGCAACAAAGTCTAAAAGATTTACTGTCTGGTCCTTTACAGAGAAACTAGCAAAACACAGCATTCTGACTAGAAATAAAGATAGGCAGCTGACAAGAGTATTTATATATTCTTGAGATATATATATATTAACTAAGATTAAGAACGTAATGGATAGGTTTTGATAGAAGATTGGGTACAACAAAGAAGAAAGTGGAAGAAATATCCAAAAAGAATCCCACTCTAAAATTTGATGAGACAAGTGGATAGAAATTACCAAAAAAAGAGAATAAGAGACATGAGAAAAAAGTGAAAATAACCCTTTCAGGAAATGAGAGTTCCAGAAGAAGAGGAAATTTCACAAGAATGGAGACACATTATATGGAGATATAATAGCCAAGCAAGGGAGGGGACAGAAGAAGAGCATAAACAACTTCACTAAAAGGCGGAACAAGGACCACAAAAATTGCAAAGAATGGCAGGTCTCTCTCTGGTCAGAAAAGACACCAGAAAGGACCAGGCTGGCAGGAGTGGAGTGCCCAGGACTGAGATGAGCACCCAGAGTCATTACCTTTCTGGCCAGAGCAACCACTACCACGACAGCTGTGCAGACGACCACCAGCACTGCAGCCAGGGCTCCCAGCAACAGGATCTGGAAGCTAGGGCGCCACTCAGCGGCTAGATGGAGGACAAAACAGAGGTAATTGGGGCTTCCCCGGCGGCGCAGTGGTTGCAGCGCCGGTCCCACATGGTGCGCGGACCTCCCCTGCCGCCCGCTGCTCCCCTCAGCAGTGTATTTCATCGGTCTGCCTGTTCTGTTCCCCACTCTGGCTCTGGTGAATTCTCTCACCCTCCCGCGCTTCTGACTGTACCCAGTGTTTGTATAAATAAATAAATAACACTTTAAAAAAAAAAAAAAAAAAAACAGAAGTAATTGGTGGAGGGTAAAAGCAAAGGGCAGCTCTTCCGGGGATGCCTGAGCACCAGGTCGCAAGGCAGGCCTGGAGGTTGAGCAGGCCTCCTCTGTAGACACAGGACTCTAGTCTGTACGCCCAGTTCCTTGGTCAGCAGAGTGTCCCTGTGACCCATCAGGAAACCACACTCATCTCTGAAGCAGCAGCATACCTCACACACTTGTTATGCCACAAACAACTTTTTTTAAACTTTTTATTTTATTTTATTTTTCCAATTTACCGCAGCACTTTATTTTCCTCACACAAAACGTGTTCTCATATAACAGTATGAAACTACAATTCATTATAATTTCTTAAAGAATTGACAGTTGCACACAAAAAAGAAAACACCTACTATAAACATAGGGGTGCAGGTGCCCTTTTGATTTGATGATTCTGTGTCCTTTGGATAAATACCTAGGAGTGGAATTGCTGGATCATATGGAAGCTCTATCTTTAGTAGGTTGAGGAATCTCCACACAGCTTTCCATACAAACTTTTTTTTTTAAGATTTTTTGAAAATTTATTTATGCGTACAAGAGCTGGGGTACCAGCCAGAGGTGTGGGGGTGGTGAGAGGATCCACCAGAGACAGAGCGGGGAATAGAGCAGGCAGACCAATGGAAATACACTGCTGAGGGGAACAGCGGGAGAGACAGGAGAGGTCTGCTGCACCATGTGGGTTTCTCCCTGGCCGGCCGGGGATAGAACTCATGCTGCAGAGGCTGCAGACTGCTTCACAGTGAGGTGTTTAACCCCTTGCACCACCTGGGGTGGTGCACTCACTTCCTGAATTCAACAATCACTTTCAGTAAAAATCATGAAACAATAATAACATCCCGGAAAAAATAACCCCAAAGTGAATATTTTCTTTTATTAAACTTTATAATCACACCATAAGAAAAAAGCTTAATTAAAATTTAAAATTAAAAATTTTTTTTGAGACCCAACCCCTATGACAAAGGAAATAAATGCCAAAATAAACAATTGGGATTACCTCAAACTAAAAAGCTTATGCAGGGAAATAGAAGTAGATTAAAAAGACATCCTACTGAATGGGAGAAAATATTTATATATTATACAACTGACAAGAGGTTAATATTCAAAATATTTAAAACCACTCAATTTAACAACAACAACAAAGCAGATAACTCAGTTAATAACTGAGCAGCAGATCTGAACAGACAATTCACCAAAAAGGATCTACAGAAGGTCAATAGATACATGGAAAAATATTATCACCACTCTTAATAAGGAGATACAGGTCTAAACCACAATGAGATATCATCTCACATCCATGAGAATGGCCTATATTTTAAGAGACCTCCAACAAGTGCTGGAGAGGAAGTGGCGAATGAGAAACCCTAATACATCATTGGTGGAAATGTAAAATGGTGCAGTTATTTTGGAGAGTCAACTAGACTTCTTAAATAACTAAAAATGTAAATACCATATGACCTAGCAACCCCACTCCTGGGCATCTACCTGAAGAACATGAAACCATCAACTCAAACAATTATATGCTCCAAAATGTTTCCTGCAGCATTATTTACAGCAGCTGGAACATGGAAGTAACACAAATGCCCACTGACAAGACTGGATGAAGAAGACACAGGATATCCACGCAATGGAATGCTAGTCAGCCTTAAGGAAAGTGGAAGGAGCTAGAGGATATTACATGTAGGAAAGCTAGTGAGTGACAGAGACAAATATTGCATGTCTACACAGTAGACGATCTGACAAAGCAAAATACAAAACCTAGTGGTCACTAATAAAGTTAGGTTTCAGAGTTTAAAAAGAAAGGGAAAGGAACAAGGGGTCAAAGAGGTATATAGAATGGTGGGGGAGGGAGAAGTATCTTTTTTTTAAGATTTATTTTTATTTATGCATGCAACAGCTGGGGTACAGGCCAGAGGTGCAGAGGGTGAGAGGATTCACCAGAGGCAGAGTGGGGAACAGAACAGGCAGACTGATGAAATACACTGCTGAGGGGAGCAGCGGGCCAGACAGGAGAGGTCTGCTGTGCCATGTGGGTTGCTCCCTGGCCAGGGATGAACTCATGCTGCAGTGACTGCGGACAGCTTCATAGGTTGTGTCTTAACCCCTTGTACCACCAGGGAGGCCCCAAGGGAGAAGTTTCTTCAACCAATAAAAGTCAGTGCTAACTTGGAAAAAAAATTTTAATTAAAAAAAAAATCTAGGCCTCCCCTGGTAGCGCAAGTGGTTGAGCACCGTGCTGTGAAGCTGTACGCAGCCTCTACAGCGCCGGTTTGATCCCCACCGTCTGGTGAGGTTCCCACATGGCGCAGCAGACCTCTCCTGTCTCACCCTGGTGCTCCCCTCAGCAGTGTATTTTGTCAGTCTGCCTGTTCTGTTCCCTGCTCTGTCTCTGGTGAATCCTCTCACCCTCCCATATACCTGGACTGTACCTCGGTTCTTGTATAAAATAAATAAATCTTTAAGAAAAAAAATCTAGAGAATTTTTTTAAAGAAAACTTGAAATTTTAAAGGGTACATTATACATGTACTAATACTAGCCTTTAAAACACATAGAAACCTGTTCACTTAAAAAAACAAACAAACAAACAGCTAGATTAAGCTCATTTTGGTTTGGACTATATCAAGAAAAATATTTAATTACAATTAAATGTACAAAAAATGTCAAAAAGCATATATCCTTGCACCTTAAGCCTATAGGACTTACTCCATTTAGGCTCCATTGTGAAATCTTACCCTATGCTGTTTACCCCACTCCTGACACATAACAAGGGCTTAAAAAATATTTGTTAGATGAATCCAAACATGAATGAGTGAATTTCAATTAAGACATAAAATGTTGGGCCTCCCCGGTGGCGCAGCGGTTGAGCGCTGGGTTGCGAAGCTGCGCGCGGCCTCTGCGGCGCCGGTTCGGTCCCCGGCTGCTCCCCGGCCACCGGAGGAGGGTCCCACATGGCGCGCAGACCTCTCCTGCAGCCCGCTGCTCCCCTCAGCAGTGTACTTGGGTCCTTCTGCCTGCTCTGCTCCCCGCTCTGGCTCTGGTGAATTCTCTCGCCCTCCCGCACTTCTGACTGTACCCAGTGCATGTATAAACAAAACAAACAAACAAACCAGCAAACAAATAAATAAAGCATGCCTCTATTAAAAAAAAAAAAAAAAAAAAAAAAGACATAAAATGTTACTGGCAGGAGGAAGAGGCAGGAGGGAAGCTTTGAAGAAATGAGTGGGTGTTTGATCCAGGGAGATGTGAGAGCAACACATTTGCCCAGATATGTGCTCTGCTGTAGCTGAAGGGAGTCCAGGCCATTTCATCCCAGGCCCACCCCTCCTCCCAGGAGTTCAGGCACAGCCCAGGGAAGTCTTGCCAGGGGAAGGGTGTAGCAGAGGCCCAGCCTTCCTCCAGCTAAAGGTTAGATTTTTAAAAAGGGAGCCAAGGGCTGCAATTCCTTAGTACAGGACAAATGCCCATGACATCCACAGAGGACCAAGATGTGGGCGGAGCCCCAGTTCCCTACAACATATTCCTCCTGCCCCGAGGTCTCAGTTCCCTGCTTTGGTAGGAGATGAGGGGGTGAGGGAGAGGATATATGGAAAGCAAAGCTGTCTTAGAGAACTCAGCAGCAGGGGATTCAGAGGGGATCCCCAAGGTGTCCACAGTGTCCACAGAACCAGAGAAGGGTACAGCGATTCACCACTTGCTGTTGATGTCCCTTGGCTTATGTCAGAGACAGCCAAGAAATAGCGTTTGATAGGAAACTTTGGGGCAACCTTTCATCTTTTCAGTTCACACACATTTTACTGATTCATAAAACTCTGTCTCCAACATAATTGATGGTAGTAAATAGATGCTCCGAGGATATAGTTTAGTGGAAACAGAACACCTCTGCTAAAATTAGCAATCCCACTTTGAGCCAGTCCACCCCTCAGCTTCTACTTCCATCAAACAGTCAACTAGGAATCATCAGCACGGCTAACACTTAGTGCTGCTTTAAGGGCATGTTCTTATAGGAAATAATTCAGTCTTACGTTGAGTACTTCATAAGATCTTACATGTCTCCTCATTTTTAAACCAGTGCTCGGAGAGGTTAAATAATCTTGTCTGAGGTCAACAGCAGTACGGGGATTTGCCCCCAAGTTGTCTGGCTTCAGGGTCTGAGTTCTCAACCACTCTGCTATACAGAGTTCTGCATAATCCTTTCCCACACTCCAGAGAACCAGTTGAAGTGTCCAGGTGGATAACGAATGTGAGGGCATTTTGGTAACTATGAGGTAATGTACAAATGCAAACAAGCTAGCATACATTTACAATTAGCACACACTGTGCTTTGTTTTTAACCAGCTCTGATCTTTTTTAAACTGAGAGGTTAATTCTAATCTGCTTGATGAAAGCTGAACTAATAAGCAATAATCCTTTCACATGACCCTAACAACTGGTCTTCTTAGTAAATATACATAAGATGTGTTTCTTACCCAAAAGAGCAGTTCTCAATCCTGACTGCACATTTGAATCCCCCAGGGAGGCTCGAGGCCTGTATCCCACCCCAGCTCTGCCCTGGAGAGTCGGATGGACATGGTCTGGGATGGGCTCCAGCATCAGGACTATTGAAAAGCTCCAGGTGACTGGAAAGTGGGCCAGTGTTGAGAGGCTGCTCTGCAGCATGTTTGGCAAAAATCACGCTTTCTATCCCAGCAGATAAGGGCCGTGAGCCACTCTGCTCCAGAGGGCCTACCTGAGTTCTGCAGGACCTGTAGAAAGAGTCTCTCTTTGTATATCCCATCAGGGTAGGTATAATAAATGCAGATGTATTCCCCTGTGTCGTTCGTGGTCAGCGATTGTAGAACAAGGCCCAGGTTAGAGCCCGGAATCACTCGGCCGATGAAGGAGGACTGAACGTGCCACCCGTGGTCAGCATTATAAACGGCCAGAAGTTGCTCCTGATGCTCCCAGTTGACCTGAACCACTTTGGCAGTGGTGGAAGAGAGGTGGCATTGTAAGGTGACAGAGCCACCTTCCTCTGCAGAAATGTTCCCTGCTGTTACTATTTTGCCTGCCACAGCTCCTAGGGAAGAGGAAGAGCATGTATAAGTCCTAGGCCAAAGGCTGACCTTAAACCTCATGGAATCTAAGGGGCTGGGAAGCCAGAGCTGGCTTTTTGAAATAATAGTCTCTGCAGTCCACCCCCTCCCTCCCCCATATAGACAAACTGCTACGACACTTAAGACCTCTGCCTCTCAGCATAATCTGCTGATATAACACTCCATGAAGAGCTCATTGATTACTTTCATCTGTTTACTTTGTCTCCCGGCCTAGAATATAAGCCCTTGTCAGACACCATTTCTGTTTTAATTTTAGCTTCCAGTAGCCGAGTTCTGCATTGGGTATATTATCCTTTAAAATAAAGGCTGACTGTTTGGTTGACTGCCTGGAAAAATCTTCGGGAAAGCCGAGACACCCAAAGGAAAGAAGGCTGAGAGACAAAGTCTGTTTCTCCCAGGCAAAAGCACCCTCCTCAACATCGATATCCACCAGCACCCCGAGGGCACCTCTCCATTCTCGGGTGCTTCCAAAAATCAACATACATTACAACGTAGAAATACTTGCGTGCCTCCAGACATTTGTTTATAATTTTTAATATGGAAGGAAATAGATTTAACATATATTCAATCTATAATGGTATATAGCATCTATGAAGAAGGCATTTTTGATTCACAGACAATGTAATGTATTTTCCTAGAAGGTTCCCCAGGCCAGAAGAAAGAATGACGGAGCAAGAGTGAACTGTACAAGCAAATCAATACCTCTGTCTTAGTCCCTTTCTCTCCCTGAGCTTCCTACCTTGGGTTTGCCATTTAGACACCCCTAAAGCCAAGGCCTTTATCTGCCGCCCCAAACAGAACTACTCCTTCTTCTCTGAGACTGCCTTTTCTCACAGGACCGGGTGCAGGACTCTGAAAACAGCATTTCCTTCTCTCCGACAGAGGTGTTTTTCACACCTAGTCTCCCTGCCTGAGCTTCCCCACACTCCTCCCTGACTTCCTTCTTTCTCTAGGTACAGGCTACATTTTTAGACCTTACCTGCATCAGCGAGGGAAGCCTGCCTCAGTCCCTCGGCCCAGAGCAAGAGGAAGCACCACTGCATTCTTCTGCCCAGGCGGCCTACAGGAAGCACATGTGGCCACTTCTGCCACTGAAACTGGCTCACGGCAGATGGGAGAGTGAAACTGAGCTTGTGAGGAAAGAGGGTCTTGGAACAACTGAGCACAGCAAAAACAATGTCAAAGTCAGATACACAAGTACACAAACTACGTAGTATGAGCCACAAAAAAGACCACGAAGGAAACACACTAAAAAATAAACAAAAATATAGTTAGAAATGGATTGGTCTTCAGAGTCCTCTTACTCAGTCTACTGACTTGTAAATGCTGTCTGAAAAAAAAAAAAAAAATGCTGTCTGAATGCACTTTTCTTAAATGAGCCTTCATCTAACCAGCTGAAGGGCTCATTAGATAGGTATAAATGGATCTGTGTAATGCCCAAAATTCCAAAGAACCTGTTACCAATGAGGTTAGAGAAAACCTAAGTTTTCTCACTTAAAGGCCAAGAATTGTACCTGAAATCTAAAGAGCTAGTGAACAAGAGACACTCAGTTGGGAGCCAAGACAAGGTATTAGACAAACAGCAAATTTCCTTGAAGCCTCTACTTGAATCTTATTTCTGGTGCCTTATTTATGTGGACTATGACTGTCCTGAACTCTGACTTAGTCGTTTTGATCCAGGCGAATCAGAGAAGACCGGAAGAGTGAGTTTTCTCGTTCATGGGAGTCCATGAGACCGGGGAGTGCGGAGAAGGGCACATTCCAGTGGCGTGACCCTGAAAGGGATTGGTTGATACTTGTCTGAAGGGCCCGGCTCATCATCAGGTCCTGCTGTTGACCATCCTTCTTTCCCCTTTCCCTCCTGCTCTCCCTTCTTTCTTTTGAAAGTCTCCAAGTGCCAAAAAAGCATGAGATTCAGCACCAAAACTTTAGAGACATGACGGTGACTTCTCCCCTGCAAGATGTTCCATCTCAAACCATTCCCACCCCCGCCCCCTGCCTTGGATTCTGTTCATTCCCAATTCTACCCCTTGAACCATACCACCCCCCAGGCCATCTCCAGACTTCGACACAATATATACCTCACAAACTTCTCTTTCTACCCAAATCCAACTTGCCTATCAAGCTTCACAGCAAGAAACATTTCCTTCACCCTCACCCTTTTCAATAATCACAGTGCCATCGACTGAGGGAGCTATAACATGGGTCTAATGGATGGTGCTGAGGTAGAACTGGTGGGATGTTTCCAAAACTGGCTGGCAAGGCAGAGGGGTCAGAGGTGGAAAAGTTAAGAATAGAGAAAGGTGGATCCTGGAGGTTAAGCTATAAAACATTTACAGTCTGTGTTTCTCTGGTGGGTGTGGGTAGAAGCCATAGAGGCTGGACCTGCCTTTTATTATGAGAACTCCAAAGAAACTGAGTTTTAAAAATATGTAGCTAAAGAATTATTCTATTTATTCTAAGCAATAAGTACAAAGAGGAATACAGTCAAGTTTATTTTGATCACTGGTGTCTACAGGGTAGTGATTAACAGAATAGGAAGTAAGAAACGGTAGGTGAGGAGCAGTTCCCAGGGCCACCCTAGGCCTTTGGGGCCAGTCAGCAGTTCCTGTAGCATAGCATGAACTTCTGTGGTCAGCCAAGAGCAGACTCATTTCCACTTAAAAGTTCTAAAAGATCACCCAGAAGATTTGAATAGCACTTCTCCAAAGAAGACTGAGAGATGGCCAAAAGGTGCATGAAAAAATTCTTGCTCATCATCACTTATCATCAAGGAAATGCAAATAAAACCACAATGAGACACCATCTCACACCTGCAAGAGTGGCACATATCAACAAGACCAGACACAAATGTCGGCCAACAACAGGAATATGAAAAAAATTTTAACATCCCTTATCATCAGGGGAATGCAAATAAAAACCACATTGAGATACCACCTTACACCAGTAAGAATGGCACATATCAAAAAAAAAAAAAAAAAGCAACAACAAATGTTGGCGAGGGTGTGGTGAAAAAGGAACTCTCCTACATCACTGGTGGGAGTGCAAACTTGTTCAACCACTGTGGAAAGCTGTCTGGAGGTTCCTCAGTCTACTAAAAATGGAGCTACCATATGACCTGGCAATTCCACTCCTAGGGATCTACCCAAAAGACACAAAAACATTGATTCAAAAACACCTGTACCCCCATGTTTATTGCAGCACTATTTACAATAGGTAAAACCTGGAAACAACCCAAATGCCCAAAAATAGATGACTGGATAAAGAAGATGTGGTATACATACACAATGGAATATTATTCAGCAATCAAAAAAAGATAAACTCATGCCGTTCATAGCACCATGGATGGAGCAAGAAGGAATTATGCTCAGTGAAATAAGTCAGAAGGAAAAAGAAAAATATCAGATGGTTTCAGTTATAGCAGGAATACAGGGGAACCAAATAAGACATGCGTGTAAAAAAAATAATAACAATACAAAACACAACAAAACAAAAACAGACAATTATAAACCAGCGGCATCCTACAAGGGAGGAGGAGGGAGAGGGATCAGAATGAGGGAGGGAATAGCACAGGGGCTATAGTGATGGTGCATGGGTGCATGGTGAAGGAAATTCTATGGGGACTACAACTGAGGGGTAGGGGGTGAAGCAAATATTGCTTAAAAATGAACAATGATGTAAAAAATTTTAAAAAATTAAAATAACCATAATTTAACAGAAAACAAACCAAAAAACAAATGTTGGCCAAGATACGGAGAAAAAGGAATCTTTGTACACTGTAAATGGGAATGTAAACTGATCAAGCACCTATGGAAAATAGTAAGGATATTTCACAAAATATTAAAAACAGATCTACCACACGATCCAGGAATTCTACTCCTAAGTATCTACCCAAAGAATACAAAAACACCAATTCAAATGGATTTATACACTCCTTTGTTCATTGCAGCACTATTTAGCCAAGTTATGGAAGCAGTGAAGTGCCCAAGCACAGATGAGTAGTAGAGAAGGTGTGGTATACATATGCAATGGAATATTATTCAGCTAGAAAGAAGGATGAGATATTGCCATTTGCAGCAACATGGGTGGAACTGGATGGGATTATGCTAAGTGAAATAAGTCAGAAAATAGAAAGACAAATACCACATGATTTCACCTCTACATGGAATATAAAGAAACAAAGCAAGGAACAGACAAAGTTTTTGTTTGTTTGTTTTCATTTATACAAGCGCTGGGTATAGTCAGAAGTGCAGGAGGGTGAGAGAATTCACCAGAGCCAAAGCGGGGAGCAGAACAGGCAGACAGAAGGAGGACACTGCTGAGGGGAGCAAACCGGCGCTGCAGAGGCTGCGGGCAGCTTTGCAACCCAGTGCTCAACCACTGCGCCACCAGGGGAGGCCCCAAAACCAAGTTTTGTGATCCAGCTGTAGAACCTAAGGGTTGGGGGATCCAATGTAGAGGTAAAGTAGAGGGGCCAAGTGAACTGTGGTGGGGGGTTATTGGCATTTTGGTGGTGTAAGTGTTGTGGCAACATATGTTTGACGAAGTAAGAACCTATACTCCAGAATACAAAACAGTGTTGTCAACAAATGTTACCTCAATAAAAAATGAGGCAGAGATAGAGAGATAGAGAGATATCACTATTTTTTCTCTCCTGACATTTGGAGCTGTGGGCTGTACAGGTCTGGTTAGCCTGACACACTGGGTGGGTGAGGGTGGCAGGGAAGGGACTCTGCTTGCGTGTGAAGAGAGAAGAAATGCTGTCGAGAATTCAGAACCTTCCCCAAACCCATCAAGATCTTTCACAGCCCAGCCTTCCCCTCACCCTGCAATCCCCAAATGAACCCACAGCCTGCTCCACTGGCTGTAAGTGGAAACCCGACAGGAATCACAGAACTGGGTGAAGGGGAAGGCGAGGGATGATGTTTTCCACAAGGCCCATGACTTGTAAGCAGGATGCATGACCTAGGGTTTTCTCAGGGCACAGGCCAATCTCTCAGTAGTGTCTTTGATATTCAGCTTCTCCAAAATCTTCTCTAGAGCCACGACTCTGGCTCAGAAGTGGTGGAGGAGGAGGAGGATATCACAACTGCCTTCTTCCTTCTCGTTCAATCCTCCAAAGAGAATCATCCCGTGAGCTGCATCAGCCAGGAGTTCCCACTCACTGCCTCGTGGACAATGCCTCCTGCTGGCAGCTCATGTTACCACTAAGGGGAGGAAGAAATTTACCTCCTGCAGGTTCACAGTGGGCAGGTGGAGCTGGGACAGCGGAAGGGGGTGGGGTGCAAATATGGTCACTCTGAGTGCTTGGAAGAATCTGCTCCACTTACCCCATCTGCCATTTGCAATAACTAAGCTACTTAGTAGCCCAGCCATCTGATAATGAGTTGATTGTTCCAAAACCTCCTGTAGAGAGAGCTGCCTTGGCAAATCTAAGGCTCAACATGAAAAGAATGTCCATGACACAATCTCCAGCTTTTTATTAAGTCTGTGAGCTAAGGATTTGTTGACTGAACCTGGCCATGGCAAATGCAAATGCGGAGAATGTGGGCTGGGATTGATGACTATTTTAAGTCCACACTCCCGCAGTCCAGTGAGAAGACTCTGAAGACCTCCCCACAAAGTTTGCAAAGAGTTCAGTGGACTATGGGAAATTGCCTTTGCTTTTCCAGCTGTGAAAATAGGACACACACTCCCAGGAGACGTAGAATGCAGTCAGAAGAAAAGTCTTTGGGAAGAAGTAACTGATCTCTCAGTCTACCTCCCTTCAGAGCCCTTGCACCAACCAACATCACTCCTATCCTTCCCCTGTGCCAGCCTAGATGAGCTACCCCATCTCTGCTGGGAAATGTATCTTCTACCCCTGGAATCTTACTTCCTACTTCCTAATGCCTGGATCCCTCAACATCCACAATAGTTAGGATTGGGTTAGAAGTACAGATAGATGAACATATCACTCAAAGAACATAACAATCATCCAGAGCTCTCCTTCCCCTGATAAAAGGAATGCCAGGCCTAGGATTTCACAGGGGGACTTTAACAA